CTGGGGAACTTAAATTGAGAAAATAATTTTTGTTAACTAATTTTCTTCTCCCATGCTTTTCTCTTATGCTTTTCTCTTATACATATTAGACTTTTATTTAATGCCACCTTACATTGCCCGCTTATTTTCTGTTGAATATTTCTGCCTAATTTTTATCCTTAAACCTAAAAGTATGCAATCAAATGTAGAATAAACTTTTATATTACAAGTGCAAATTAATAGCTAGCCATATTTTTGAAAACTATAAAAAAAAAAAACAAATTTTTAATTTATTGATTCATTAAATTATTTTTAGATTGAAATTATTTAAAAAAAAAATTAAAAAATTTATCGATTGCAATGATTCAAAATTCTTTCGTATGTGTACATACATAGGCACACACATTCAACTTGTTGTTTTTCATTAAAAAATTTAATATATCATCGCAATAATATCGACTTTATTAAAAAGCCAGTCATATAATTTTTTTTTTGCAAATTATAATCCACTTGTATATAACAGTGTAAAATAAAAATTTTTAATTAAAAAAATATATGCATGTATGTATATATAAAGAAAATTTAATATTTTTGCTTTGATTATTTTTTAATTTTTATCAAAATTTATTTTCCCATATCAAAATTTTCAAATCTTTACATCAGTTCATTAAAACAACAGCAGCTCTTACACAAACCGATATACGATCTAAATAAAAATGTATTTACTTACATATAGAAGTACAAGTATATTATATTGTATGATGTGTACAAATATGTACAGGGTGTATTTTTAAACATTTAAAATATATAAATTAAAGTAAACTTACTTTTCAAATTGACAATAGAGATGGTTTTCTTCTGTTCTTTGAAAATACTTCTATACCTTATTAAACGAAGTTTCAGAAAGCAGCCGTAAATCGAAGTCATTATTTTTTACTTAAGATATTTATTCTAAATGATAAGACTGGAGTTCAAATCAAGCATTCTTCAGTTCAATGACTGGCCCCATAACAATTCTCTGATTGGCCCTTTTATGAACTAGTAAACATTCATAAAGGTTCAATGACAAAGGATACTTGAACTTGTGATCAATTTGCAACAAGTGATTGACAGTGTTTTCATAAAAATAACCGAATATGAGATAAATTAATAAACACTCTGTAGATTACATTTAAAATTTTCTGATATCATCAATTTAAACTTTATTAATTTTATATGTGTGCATGTGTATTTATGTATATATTTTTGCACATTATGTTGTTTTTTCTCTTTTATGTTTTGTGGACTCTTAAGTATACAAAAAGTTTGAAAACATTTCGTTTTAATTAACAAAGAAGTACAGAGTGCGCTCCTATCATTGCAAAATTCACTTTTATTTTTTTTTGTGTTCTTTTTTAATTTTCTGTCTTTTTAATTTTTCACATGTTAAAAAGAGTTAACTAAGTTTTTTAACTATCATAAGTGGTGAACCTGTGCACATAATGTGAAAAAAGCGGCCTTTTTCGTATACAAGAAAAGATTTGGTCAACACAAGAAAGAAAAACTACAAAAAAAACAAAAAACTTTTAATAAATTTTAACTTTTTTTTTTCCTTAGTTATCCTATACATAGTGATATCATTACGAAAAATCGATGCGTTAAAAAATAAATTAATTTTATATTCCATTCGCGGATTAAATTTATAGAAAAAAATGTTGTTATGTGAACATTAAACGAACATAGAGTTTACTTGTACCTACATGTTTACAATTCCAAACATATATATTATGCACATACATATATGAGATTTTTACATATTATGTACCTTTATGTACATGTAGTTAATATACTTATTGAACGTATAAAAATATGGATGAAGAGAAGATGGTTTAGACTTGATCTCTTAAAAAATAAAATCTAAAAAACATACTAAAAGAAAACTAAAAGATGTTTTTCCTAGTAGCTAAATATATTCTTAGATACCATCGAATAATTTAAAAATTTTAAGGGATTAAAAACCAAGTATTTTAAACATGGAAATCATAGAAGGCTATAGGTATTCTATTTTGGCATATATTGAAACACACACGTCGATAAATAAATAAAAATACAGCGATTCGTTACTCGTACTCTTTATTGCGTGCACTTTCATGTTTTTAAATTTTAAAGCACTACGATTTTTTTTCAAAATGTTTCGATATGTAAATACTTTTTTATTGTTGAAACTGAAATTGAAATTTCCGTTTTTTCTTCTTGTATTATAAAATTTGAAAATAGGAACTAACTTAAGAAAAGCACTTCCTTTTATATATGTTCCTAACTTCGAGCTCTTACTTATAATCGATTACTCCATATACCCAACAATTCTCCGGAGGATGCCCATCGTCATAATATAAAGGGCTCTGAAAATAAAACCGCAAAGTTTCGTGTTGTAAATTTTATACTAATGAATGAAAAGCACGTTCGGGTTATGAAGTTTCTGCTATATCGAACATTTATTAAGTACATGTACATTGTTTTAATTTTGAAAGGAGAAAGCTAACTTTGTTAAATAAAACAATTAGCTATAGTTAGCAACATTAAGACTAACTTCATACATTATAGATTTTAGCCATTTCATATATAAATCGAATCAAATCAATTAATGCAATATTTATACAAAACAGCAAAAGTTTACGCCATGTTTTTTTTAATTTTATAAACTTAATTAAAACTTTTTTTTTATTTTTCTGTTTTTTTTATACTAAAGAATTAATATAAAAAATGCTATACTAATTAAAATTTCAGAGAAATCTTACAGCAATTATTATAGATTTAGCAGATACCAACCTACAGATTATGCTTCAAAGCTCATAATAAAGTAATGATGAATTGAATTCGCAATGGCAGATTGACGTCAAAAGTATGCGAAAGATATATTTCAACTCAGTGGGAGAATACTTTTGCTTTATTGAGCTTTATTAATTTTTTGTTTTAAAAAAATCTGCGTTAGCTTAGGAGTCTTGCGCTTATAATAGACGAGTCTACGTATGTACATGGGAGTCATAACATGTACGTACGTAGACTCATTTTACACATAGTAAAGCTAAATACTATAAAATTCGAAAATTGTCGACTTGATTACACAAAAATTCCAACTATTGAACTATTTGATCCGCTGTTCTTTTAACTTGATTTAAAAAATTTCTGTGTGTTTTGCTGCATAGAACTAAATCTTGTTCCATAAATTTTAATGAAAACAATAGTTTAGATTGAATTAATTTTATACTTATGTATGAATATATTTAAATTATTTATGTCCTTCTTTCTTTATGACAATTTATTCCATTCTCATGTTTATAAATTTTTTCTTGTCAATCTTAATATTTCATAATTTGATTTTGTAATTTTCCTATAACATTAACAATAAAAATATACATTAATATTTAAAATTTTTAATATTTTACTTTTCGTATAATTATTCTTAATTCTATACTTAATTATTGTATTATAGTTTGTAATTGAATAATTTTTTTTTAATATATAATTTTTCCTTTATAATAAATTTATTTGTCAAATTTTCACTTTTTTGTTTGTTATATTTTTATAGCATTTTCTAAAATTTTATACATTTAAGTCATAATTACCTACGTCAAGGTTAATAAAAATTTGTTTTTAATGATTTCATTAATTATATCGATTAGGCTTAAAATTAAAAAAAAATTATTTGTTATAATTATTATTAAAATAAAAAAAATGCAGTGAAAATTAAAAGATCACATAAAATTTACCAAAAAAAAAAAAACAATTTTTAAACGTCGACAATACTGTCAGTCGTAGTACTGCGATTCTCATACAGTCAATTGTCAAAAGTAGAGAAAATTGTAATATAATCCCAAATAGAGACCGTTAAGGCTATTATTTGTTAAAAATTTATTTAATACGTATTACATTCCAACAAGACCCACGCTGGTACCATAGACAAGATTATTTGTTCAAATCAACCTTTTCTTAGTAAAAACTAAGTTATATTGTAAACCAAAAAGCATAGCAATTTAGCGTTAAAATCTAACTTAGAATTCAAACAAGCGTCTTAAAATATAAAAAATTATAAAATAAACAGTTATGTAAGACCAGTTTTGTTATAATTGCTTTTCTCAATTTTGAACAATAGTTTGACAATTGAAAATTTGATTAATCCGAAACTCTTTTTTTTTAATTTTATTTATCGGTTTTAAAACTACATTATGTTTGTATGTGCAAATGTAAATTAATAATATAACAAATTGAAAGTAAAACAAAATTATACTTTTAAAACGTAAGAATTTATGTACATATATATATGTATGTGTATGTGTACATACATACACATTTACTTTCACTATATTTAATAATTATTTACACTTTAAAGTTAGTTAAACTTTTTTGCATTAGAAAATTTATGAAATAGGGGAAGCAAATTTTTAGATTTTATACTTATGTATATTTAATTATAAATGTTTTTAATAAATTTTAAGTGTTTTATAACATGAGTACTTAATATTTTCAATCCTATTACTTTACATATTTTCGTATAACATCGTTGTATAAAACATCATTTGCATTATTATAAATAACTGTCCATTTTTGACAAAAAAAAATGGAAGTAAAATTAATTTCTTTTTATAATTTTCAATATTTTTTAAAAAACAAAAATCATTTATGAGTATTACAGTATTGAATAAATATTATGAAATGCAATTAAGGTAGGCGTGAAAAAAAACTTTGAGTACTCGTATATGTAAAAATAAAAAAATAAAATAAATAATTTTGACACAATAAATGTCATTAAAAAAATATGGCAATTTAAATACATTTTGCTCATCTTAATTTTAAGAAAACTTCAAAAAATTATTGAGTATTCCAACAATTTTGTCTATATTTAACGATAAATGTGGTAAATGTCTAAATGAGTTCAGTAATTTAAAATGATTAATTGCAAATTTAATGTCTTAGTTTAAAATTTATTAAAAAAAAGTTTTCTTTTCATTATCAATCGTATACTTTCCTTTCCAAATTTAATTTCAATTCATTTGCGGGTGATGAGGATAATTAGACCAATGTGGATGATGATATCCAACCGGCATCATACCATTTTGTGTAAAATCAGTATATGATGCATAATCAGGACATTTGAATTGTGGATGAGTTAATGAAGTTGATGATGAATAGTTACTTGGATCATAATAGTTAATACCACAATTTGCTGTAAGAGCACCGGTATCGGATGAAGAATTTTGTTGATGTTGTTCTTGATTATTATTGTTACTATCAGAAGTTACTGCTGGTCCACATAAACCATTATAGTTATAGTTTGATTGCTGATGGAGATTATGATGCGATGATGTTGGTGGTACTGATGAAACACTTGTTGTAGGTCCACCTAAAGGTGCACCAAAATTTAATTTAGAACCCATAGAAAGATGCTGCTGTTGTTGATGTATAGAAGAAGCACTAACAGTGTTATTATGAACCGACGTTGTTCCAATTTCTGAAGACTCATTATTACGATTATATAATATATTCGCGGATGGTGATGTAGATGTTAATGACGATGATGATGATGGTGTAGGTAATACTGATGATAAATGATGGTGGTGATGATGATGGTAGCCTTGTGGAAAAAGACCTGATGTTGAACTATTATTACCACTACAATTACTATTTAATATATTATTGCTAGATAAATAATTTGAAGAACTAGTAAGACAAGAAGATGGAGATAAAGATTGAGATAAAGTTGATGATGTAACAGATAATCCAGATGATGATGGTAATGATGATGAATACATTGATGAATATGGACTTACTGCTGATAAATAACCTGAAGAAATTTGATTTGAATGTGAGGTAGATGGCGAGGTTGGTTCTGTTTTCATAAAGCTTGTTGATGTTAAAGTTGTTCTTGACGTAATATTATTATTAGTATTATTATTAATAGCGGAATGAGCAGAAGAATTGTTAATTTCTTTAGATTGTTGCTGTTGATGATGTTGTAAAGTGGATATATTGCTATTTGAATTACTAATTGCGCTATTTGTTCCCATTTGTCTAATTGTATTTTGTGCTAAACTATTATTATGACCACCAGTCCTTTGAAGTGGATCATGATGTGATTGTACTTTATTTCTTTGAGCACTACTAATATTATTATTAATGTTATTATTACTATTATTATCAGCATCTTCTGTTAATCTAGATGTTTGAACATTATTATTGTTATTGTTTTGTCCTGTTGATTCCATTTTTTCCTTTTTGATTAAAGTCGACGATGATGTTGATGAATTCGTTTGTTGTTGTTGCTCCTTATTCTCTGCTCCTTTTTTGTTTTTCTTGTCTTTAAAATGAGTTTTTTTATGTTTACTTAAATGATCACTTCTTGAAAATTTTTTAGCGCATATTGGACAACTATATGGTCTGTAGTTTGTATGTGTTCTGCCATGTCGTTGCAATTCATCAGATCTGGAAAAACGTTTACCACAGGTCAAGCACAAAAATGGTCTTTCACCAGTATGCCATCTCAAATGAGTTTTTAAATGACTGGCTTTCCCATACAAACGTTCACAACCAGGAATATGGCAAATATGTTGTTTACGACCGCGTTCGTCTGGTCCAACTATTGGTGGAAGCCCAGACATTTCATTAGTACAATTGGGGCATGTACAACGTATGCTACGACGTTGCAATTGGGTTTGAAAAGCTATATCATCCAAACTTGGGAAACTATTATATGCAGCAGCCGGCCAACTTGAATATAAACGATCCTGTGAAAACCAAGCTCCTGCAGCTGCCGCTGCCGCCGATGTCATACTCATGTTACCATAATAATCTGAGGCGTATTGTGTATATGGAAATTGTGGATGTGGTCTATATAATAAATAATTTAAAAAATTAGTACATTGATGACATAGTTTTTAAATCTGAGGCGAACTGCATTCACAAGAAAGAGTTAAATACAAGAAAGACCAGAGAAAAAATCCGGAACCAATTAAATTTAATTAAACGGTAAGAATCTGTTTTTCAATAATTCCAACCCTCTTCGAACAAGTCCCTATGAATTATTTAGTTGTTTCAAATTTTTTATTAAGTTTATTACTTCATAAAAAAACAAATGAAATACAAATATTGTTCAACTGATAAAAATAAGTTAAATATATTCAGGTATAATAAAACGGATTAGGTTAATCTTGGCAGACTATTCAAACCCTTTGTTACAATTATAGAGAACAAAATGAGCAGATAACTATGAAACAGCTTATAGCCAACTTTTTTTGTTGCTTTTCGAAAGTTCTCTATTTAATTTATCATACAAAGCTATATAAAAAGATTTAAGGTACCCATAAACATATTTACTTGATATATATGTGATTCTGCATCAAAAACTAGTTTTTGTCGCTTCTCTTTCTTGTTTTAATGCTACCTTATTAATTATTGAAAATTCAAAGAATTTTGATAGTTTGCATAGAATAAATATTTACATACCTTGACGATAAACCATAAGTATTCCAGGTGGCTGCATAACCACTGGTAGTAGCACCACTGTTACCACTACTGCTATTAGTTAAATCATTTTGTGATGTAGATGAACTTGATGATGAATACGATGGTGATGGAAAAACAGTTGGCGACGCGCTTGCAGATAAATTTGAATTAGGTGACGCAGAACCAGTTGATGACGGTTGTGGTGGATATTGATGTGGTTGGTGAACAGTTTGTACTCGACATGGAGTTGTTGGTGATAGCATATTTAATTTATATAAAGCTGATGCGTTTTGTGTGCCAGCAGCATTTGTTGATGGCATTGCTAAAGAAGCTGCCATTACGGCAGCAGCTGCTGCCGCCGTTGATGAGGATGAAGGGGCTAGCGATGAATGAGTAACAGTTGGTGTTACAGGTAATATCGGCTTATATTCAATCGGCGAAGGTGGTTTAACACTCTGAAATTCCAGAAAAAAGTTGTAAAATTAATACGTGCCTCATAAAATACAAAATTAATACTCATTTGATATTTATTAATGTTCAACATTTATTTAGCGCGTTACGAAGGTAAAAGTTTTAAATATCACGATAAGCTTTGAAACGTCGTATTTATCCATGAAAGTAAATTTAATTTTTCGTGAATGATAGAACACCTTATGTTTGACGAAATCGGAATACAGAGCTAAATATCCAAAATGTACGATTGCGAAGCATGGATTTGACTTAGTTATGGTTAAAGGATGTTTTACTGCATCGGGACCAAAAATTTTTTAATTATTTGAAGAGGAAATATACCAGAATATTAACCTGCATATCCCTGCAGTTTGCTGTTGCAAACCAGTTGGAAAAATTAACTCTTGGAAAGAGTTATCTGTTATACCAAGAGAATGACCAAAAACAAAATTCTTTTAACGGACGTGATTTAATGCAAATTAGGCAAAAAAACACCGAACCACCACATTTCTAGTAAATAAGTCAGTTAATAGCTGTGTTACCTAAAGAATGAGGAAAAATTTATAGAAACTACTGCAAAAAGCTATAGTTAAATCTTCGCTTTCTAGACTTTAAGTCTAGTAACTATTAGCTAAAATATGAATTACATGCAAGTATTGTTAATTATTAAAAAATATATTTTTGTGTTAAAAGTGTACGAGTTTTTTTTGACGACTATTTTGGTACCTTTTACTATATTCTTACCTATGTTGATAAAAAAAATAAAAACTTTTAAAGTATTTGTTTAAAATATTATAAGTAGAATCCAAATGGGCATAAACATTTTTTTAATGAGTTTTTAGGTGTATGAGTTTAGCTTGACGTGACTATAAAATTTTAAAAATCAATGCGATAAGTAACAGTCATGTATAAAAGTCTAAAGGACATGCGAGAATGAAATTTATGTCTATAAAAAAGTTTAATTGCCAATCTTTTTAAATTAAATTAATTTTAAACAATTATATTGAATTTTAACTTAATATTAATTTAAAATTATATTTATGTTAAATAATGTTAAGAAAAAGAAAGGTGTGTATACATTTAGGTAAATTCTGCATGTTGCAAAAATATATACAAAGAAAAAATTTTCTCATAAAACTTTACCTGACTATCTATAATTGTGTTACGGCTTAAATCCAAATTTAATTTTGTATTCACTGATGTTATTGCGGCACCAGCTGTTGTCATATTGCCAAATGGTGTACTGCCATAATTAAACGGTGTTGCTGCGTCAATCATTTTATCACTCTATTTTTTTTCCTCTTATGAATGATTTTAAATATTGTTATACTTAATATTTATAGCGATTTACTTTAAAAACTTTATCAAAATTGTAACAAGCAAATTCTATAAAAAATTGACACATAATCCTTTATTTCGATTTTGTGATATTTTATTTATCGGTCATTTATTTATTGTAATGAACCTCAAATGATATACTTTTGGAATCACTTCGTGTTTAAGTATATCTGTTATAATTTTTTAGTTAATAATAATTTGTGTGTAGTTCTTATTGTTAATTTTATTTAGTTTTCCTTTGTTTTGTTTTTTGTGTATATTAACCTTTTTATTCACATATATATTATTATTTATTTATTTATTTCTTCTTTTTATTTTGAACTTTAATCATATTTTATTAATAACACGCGGTATGGCGGAATTTTCTACATTTATACTATATATTATTTATATAAAGGTGTATACAATGAAGAAGTATATATCTTGTTTTATAAAATGTAAATAAAATATATAATATATACACAAGATGTTAGTTTTTTTACGTTTTGTTTTGCCTTTTAATTTTATTTTATTTTATCCGTTCTTAGGTTTATCTAAGTATAGCGTAAATTGATTTGATTATAGCCCTTGAAATCGCTTCACTTTATTGCTTCTGGTTTTGGCTATTTTTTGTATGTGCAAATTAAAAAAACCAAAAAAAAATTAATAAAGAGCAGTCATTTATGCCGTTTAAAAGGTAGTTGGTAGTTAGTAAATTGTTGTACTTATGCGGAAATATTTATGATTTAGAAGAAACTGCCAATAGTTGAATTTTTTCAAATGATGATTTTGATGAATTCTTGAATATGTAAGTTAATATAATCCTTCGGAGTGCTTACAAAATGAACCCGAAATTTTACAACATTTTTGTATTCGTTATTCTTCTATTTACACAAAAAGTTGTGTTTTTTTAATGTTTTAGATATTTCTTTAGTTTTATTTTTCATGAAAATCTAATCTTCAATTATCTTAAATTCTTTTCTTTCGTCATTTGTTAGATGTAAAAAATTTTATGTTTATATTTATATACATTCAATAAATATTTATGTGTTTATAGATTATATATATTTTTATATAAGATATTGTCTTAATAAGAGGTGAAATTTTGCGTTGTTTGAATGTTGTTTTTATATGCGATAGTTTATTGTTTGTTTTGATTTCTGTCTTTGTACCTTAATTACATTTTATTAAATATTACATAACTGTTTTATTAATATTTTATTACTTTTTTAATATTTTGAGCTTTTTACTCAAAGGCACATAATGTTTATTATTATTACTATTTATATTGTTTTTAATTATTTGTAAAGCATTTTTTGCATATCTTTAAATGAATAAAAATTTTATAGATGATTTTCATAAAATTTTATGTACGCTTTATTAACTTTGTTAAACTAGTTATTAACTTTTTAAAGTTTAATATTTTCAAATATAAATTTTATTTATTCTATTTAATTAAATTTCTGAGTGTTCTTTAACACTTTCTAAATGTTGAAAAACACATTCTTAATCCGTATTTAAAATATTTTGAGAACCATACACATACGTTATGAGAACAACCAAACATTACACAAATGTTATAAGAAATATTAAAATATTTTTTAAACTTCTCAACACTACTTTTACTGTTCAAATGGTTTATTCATATATTTTTGACAATAAAATTAAAAAAAATAGCGACGGATTTTTATATATGTAATTTTCTCCAAAAATATTATTAAAAAACTAATTTTAATTATTTTTAAAATTGAAAATATTATTGTATGTTTTTAAACAATTACAAGGAAATTTCGACATTAAAATTAATTTTAATACATTTTATTATGTATATTTATATTTATTTTAATATTTTTTCATTACACTTATTATTATCATTTTAAATTACAATTATTTATTTATTTAATTAATCTCTTTATTTCTTGTTTTTTTTTATTATTTCTACACAGCAATTATGATTTTAACCCCGAAACGGTTGAACGGAAACTGATTTTTTCTTTTTTATGTTTTTCTGTAACTCTATTTTTGCCCTCGGCAGCAGCAGCACCAGCAGCCAGCTAGTACACACAATATAGTACAATAATAACAATAATAAACACAGAGAATGACTGAGCAGAGCAGAATAACAAATGAAAAAAAAAAAAAAGAATATACAACACTGTATACAGTATAATGTATAGCAACAAAAAGAAAAAGAAAAAAAAATATGTAGTACTATGCTATTTATACAGACGTATCATAAAAAAGAAAAAATTAAGAACAAAATCGTAAAACAGAAAAAAAAAATATATGGATTTTCTCTCATACAACAAACCATAGACTACACTATTCTTTTCATATGCTTAAGTATAAACTATATACAAATGGGAATAGAGAATTTAATATAATGTATCTACAGTTTAATATTATTGTGTTGTGTGCCGTATTATAATGTAAGTACCTTTGTATATACTAAAAGCGTACTATAAATATAATTTTTAATATTATGTTTCAGTACTTATGTGATACATATTTAATATTCCTTATACATACATGATGTTCACCTACATATGTAAAGTATAATTCTAAGCCTAAACGAAAATATTTACAGATTTTGAATTATGTACACGTATACAATATTTATTTAGAGATTTATCATTTTTTCTCAACTGAACCTTTGGTTGCACAGCTATACATATATGTATCTGTTTATGTATAAATTCAATGACGGGGACTATTAAATTGCAAATGTGTACTATGTACCTATATTTTATGTTTACCATTAGATCATTTTATAATTTTAACATACTATGATGCACTATTATACTTATAAACGAGATAAAATGTTTACAAAGATAATTTTATATAGCACAAAAAAAAAATAAAACTGAAAATTATAAACATAAAAATATGTGTACAAATTTAGAGATAAATGCAATAAAATAACAACAAATATGTTTTTAATGTTGTCAAAAGACAAAAGCTATCGTAAACATACACAATACATGTTAAATTTTCTGTATACATTGTACGCAAAGAAATGTTGCTAAACTGCTCCTGAATATTTTATACACATGTATATTTGGTTTTCTCTACATTATTATTATTATTATTCTTTTAATGTATACATTTTAACAAGATATCGATAATGTATATAATTATGATATGTTAGTGTGCGTAAATTGCATATTCATAATATATTGATTAAGTTTGTTATACACCTATGTTTATATAATTAAATATTTATAATATTGAAAAATATGGTATTATTTTAATAATTGTATACAATTATTATATATGTAAGTAGTAGAACAAAATATTATTTTAATTCAGCATGTTGACTTTTGCTTTATTTCAAATGTAAATAAAAATTATGTATTTTGTTTTTTTTAAACTAAGTGAGACAGAAAACATTTCGTAAAAGTTGTTGGTTCCAGAAATATTTTTCTTTGATCCGAAATCAAATATGTAAATGTTATTAATTTTATAAAGTTAAGCAAGATTTTTAGAAACGCAGTAATAAGCCTGGTATCTTTTACATTCAGTATCGTGTAACTATAAAATTAAAATAACTGTTCACATCCTAAATATACATTAATATGTACAATATTTGCATACTTGTAGGTACATTTTTATATTATAGTAGTATAGTATTAACTAGTTCATATACAGCAGAAGATATAGGTACAATAATAAACTATTTTCCTCTAAAATTAAAATTTTATCCCATATCATGGGATATAATGATTTATTCCATATTATGGACAATTACCATTGCAAATTGGCAATCGGTCACATAACATTTCAACTTTGTTAAGCAAAATAGGAAGGTTATCCATTCGTTACTCAATTTTATTCAAAAATCTTAATATTTTTCTAACAGTACATAAATAAATACATAATTTTCATCAGATACATACCTATACTTACACATAATGTTATATAACTTATTTATGATATTATAAAGATCTATACATACATACATAATTGGAAGATTAAATGTATAAGTAGGTATTATGATTTAAATAATAATAATATGAAAGGATATTCTATATCTTCTATCTATGCATCTTACATTATTCTCATCACACACTATTAATTATTTCATCTCCGATTTTTTTTTTCTCTTTTTATCTTTTAATACACATTTTAATTACTGTTATTAAAACCCGCCTAAATTTACTAACACATGTTAATCAAATATTTCGCTCTTTTTAAAATCATAATTATTTTCTATCTTACTTACTCTAATGCAAAAACAGTCATTATATTTTTTTTATATTTTTGTGTATTTACATTTAACTTTTCAATATGTATATTCATTATATTGCAAACATTTTATACTTATACTTATATTGAAATCTAGAAAAATTTTATATTTTTGCTTGTATGAGTGCGTAAGTGTGTCTCTTTCTTGAAACTGTGCTATATATGTGTAAATCAACGTGTAAATTAAAAATTCTAAAATATAAAAAAATTGTTTTGTACACTTTCTACTTAGCGATTTATGGTACAATAACGTTGTAGTCCTTTTTAATAATCTACCAACACATTCATAAAAAAATGATTTAAGAAATTGTTATTGGAGCTCTCATTTCTTTTGTATTACTTTATGTTATTTTTACTACTTTGTAATCATAAATTTTTGATTGTGCGTTTCTTTAAAAAAAAAATAAAAAAAAGGAAAAAAAAATTTTTGTATTACAACCACAATTATAAAAATCGAAATTATATACGTACTTATTACATATACGTATGTGCATTTTAAGAGCATAAAAATTATTAAAAAAAATCTTTTAGAAATATAGTCGAAAATTTTAAGATAAGAATGAGAAAACTTCTTGGGAACATGTTCCAATATTTAATATTTTTCAATATCGAAAATTGTACTAGAGCTAAAATTATAATTCTTCTAATATTTGTACTATATTATAGTTATACCATTCTGATATAATTCCCGTCGAAACACCACCGACTTGAGCAAA